AAGTCATGAAATACACTTGTAAGATGACTCTCGAACCTTTCTTTTCTCTAAAAAAAAATCAATTTGCATAAGAAATAAAGTGTACTAAAAAAATTTAGAGCTATATGAGTTCACTTATAGACTTGTAGTGTGTATTGGTGTAATTTCATTGTAATCAAAGAGATATATGTGTCACTGAATGTTGCATCTCCCTTTGATTTTTGAAGCAATTGTCTCTCCATTAATGGAGAGGTCTGAACTAGGCCCCTCTCTATTAATGGAGAGACAAATGCATGTCTTCCTTTTGTTTTTAATGACAAAAGTGTGATTTCATTGTAATCAAATGGATATATGTGTAATTGAATGTTGTCTTTCCCTTTGATTTTTGAAGCACATGCCTCTCCATTAATGGAGAGGATCCTAACTCAACCGGAGATAAAATAAACAAAGAAAATGTTAGGAATAGAGCGCAATGCGGAAACACAAGATCGGATCAATTGAGAATAAAATATAAGCAAGAAAATAACACACAAAATTTAATGTGGAAAAACCCCCTCAGTGTGAGAGTTAAAAAACCACGGGCGCTCAAGAGCAAAATTCCACTATGTAAAAGAGATTACAACAAATCCTCTTATAGTAGTGAGGATAAAGAATAATATTTTTCTCACAAATACTCTCTCAAATGGAACAAGAATTCTCACCAAAAATACACTCACAATGTATACGTGTATATGAAAGAAAATGAAATGCTCTCTGTGTAAATTGTGATGTTTAAAACACACCACAAGGCTTGCCTTTTATAGGTGAAGATGTTGTGATATTATGAATAGTTTATTCATTCTTAGCATGGAAGAAAGCTAGCTTGTGCATTTAATAAGAAAACTTAAACACCAAGTTGTGTAGCCTGCACCAAGTTGTATAGCCTTTATCATAGGTTGAAGACTAGTTGGAGGCGCATAATTATTTCTTGCAAATCTTAAACCTGAAGCAACAATTTATTGGCCATAGAATCCATACTAGAGATATGTGGAATAATTTGAGCCTAAATATTAAATAAAACCATCAACTAAGATTTAATAACCCTTCATAGAAATACTTTTTTGCATACCTCTTCTTATTGATCTATGTCACATTTAATTCTCATAAATGATACTCATGAGCTAACAGTCTTCTCTGTGTTACATCAGAAGCACATTCAGAACATAGATAATAGTAACCATATACACATAAAATGACAGCAATGGGATGACAAGCCTCGCAATTTATTTGTAAAGTCTCTATTCTTTGGTAATCGAAACCCAAAAATCTATGAATTAGTCCACATTTGATTCGACAACACGAAAAATGACCATGTATTTTTAGATACAATTTGCGATAAAAATTATGGTGCACTGTTTCACGTAATTGATCCCACCTAATAGGAAAAGAAAAACGTAATTGTTGGTGGTGTAATAGTGACTTGAATTACTTGGCCTCAATAAATCACCATCTGTTTTTTCTTGGTAGGTGGAGTGTATGAAACATTGTTACCAAAAGCAGAGTATTTTTCTAGAGCATTATACACATTTGATATTGGTCAGAATGACTTAGCAGCTGGTTATTTCCACAACATGTCCATAGAACAAGTTAAAGCATATGTTCCTGATGTTTTGGCTCAATTCAAGAACATAATCAAGGTAACCCATTTCAACAAATTACTTATAATTACTAATAGATAAAATTTTTAAATATTGTTGGTTGTAATTCGTTATCTTTTGCACAATGGTGCATTGATCCTATTACGTGTATGGACCTGTGTTGCAAGTTGTAATCGGGTTGGCACCCCTTATACCTTTTTAATATCTTTGCTTATCAAAAAAAGTATTAGCATATGAGATTACACAATAACATATATATTTATTGGTTTGCTTGCATTGCTAGTATATATATGATCATGGTGGAAGATCATTCTGGGTTCACAATACTGGTCCTGTTGGTTGTTTGCCATATATGATTGATCTTTTTCCACACAAAGTACATAGAATTGACAAAGCAGGATGTGTAGCCTCTTACAATGAAGTGGCTCAGTTCTTCAATCATGAATTAAAAGCAGCACTTGTTGAACTTAGAAAAAAACTTCCCTTGGCTGCAATCACCTATGTTGATGTTTACTCACTGAAGTACTCCCTAATTAGTCAAGCAAAGAAGCACGGTAAACCCTTCAACGCCGCTTAATTACTCGAAAATGCATCAATTTTCGCAGTAATGTTTGACATTATAATTCCTGAGTACTGATACTTTATCTTATAAAGTCAAATAATGTTGCGAAGTTGTGGCATATGGTTGTACATATAACACTAATGTTAGTTATTTGTTCTACGAATCGAAGATGTGTTTTATGTTTGGAACAAAAGAGTTTTGTTTGATAATTGCAGGTTTTGAGGAACCTTTGAGAGCTTGTTGTGGGCATGGTGGGAAGTACAACTATAATTTGCATATTGGTTGTGGAGCAAAGATTAAGGTTCATGGCAAAGAGGTTCTTGTAGGGAAATCATGCAAGGATCCTTCAGTTTGGGTAAATTGGGATGGTGTTCATTACACTGAGGCTGCTAATAAATGGGTATTTGATCAAATCATAAATGGTTCATTTTCTGATCCACCTATTCCTTTGAACATGGCTTGTTATAAGCAACTTTAATTGAAGGATGTGACCATTGACATTTTTAGTTGTATATTCACATTCTCCTCACATCCAATCATATTTTTGTAAAAAATGGAAAATTTTGATTGGTTGGAGGAGATTATATATATGCAAATTTAATGCTAATGACATTTTCCTTTACTAAAGAGATTCAAAAACCTTCAACTTCTCTCCCAAAGAATTGAGAGAAGAGAATGTGTCTAGCTTGAATGATGAAACCACTATGAATAATATTTTCTCTTGTGTACTAATGATGTAAGTGCAGATCATCTTACTTCAGTTAGTATCATGTTTAATGCTTGTTAGTTAATCATGGATTGTTGCTGGATAAATAGAATTAATCCACTTCAAGCTATTAGTGGATAGAACATTTGACAATTTTAGTTAGGAAGTGATGAAATGCAGGACTATATAGAGAGAAAATGATATTGAATGTCGTGTAATATTCCATAGATCAGGTATGTTTAAATACATGTAGTGATGTATAATCATGATCTTAGAATCATGCTAATAATTATAATTGCGATTCTAAATGATGCTAATGGTAATTATAATAATGTTGCATAATAATAGAAAGTAAAGTAAGGTGTGTGAATGATATGATTAAGGATCACCATATCATGACAATAAAGTGTTATGATCCCCTGCAATGTGATATCATTCCAAGTTTGTCTCTCAACCTGTTGAATCTTGTGTGGGTGAGAGGTTTAGTCAAGTAATCTATAATTTGGTCAGCAGTAGGAACATAGGCCACGATGACTTTAGTCAATAGTCACGTATGTAATGCACATCTATCTCAATATGTTTGAAACGCCCGTGCATAATTGAACTGGATGCAAGTGACTTAGCACTCAAGTTGTCACACACTCACACCATAGGATTGGTTTTCTGAGCATTGGTAACTTCAGTTTTGCTAGTAGTGATCTAACTCATGCTACTTCAGCTGCAAGATCAACCAAGGCCCTGCATTCTGATTTTGTGCTTGATTGTGGCACTACTTTTTATTTTCTTGAGTACCAAGAAACCAATGTTTCATCAAGAAATACACACTGTCCTGCCATGGATTTTTTATCATCAGCACTAATGGCCTAATCTGCATCAGAAAATTGTATTATATCAAGGTCATTTGAGGGTTTTATGTGTAGACTTAAATCTATTGTGCCTTAGAGACATCTCAATATTCTTTTTATCCCTTATCAGTGATCCATGGTAGGAGAACTCATGTATTGGCCGAGCTTGTTGACAGCAAAAGTAATGTCAGGTCTTGTGTTAGTCAAATATTGCAATGCACCCATGTCTTGTCTGTAACAAGTAGAATTGGACATTGGCTCCCCCTTACTAGTGAATTGCCTACCAAATACCATTGGTGTTGGACAAACTGATACTTTCTCCATGTTGAACTTCATGAGTATATCTCTTATGTACTTTGTTTGTTTTAGATACATCCCTCTATCATTTCCGTGAACCTTAATACCCAAAAAGTAGTGTATATGTCCAAGATCTTTCATTGAGAAAGCATCATTAAGTTGATTGATGAATGTCTCCAATAACTTATTGTTTCTACCTCTTACTATTATGTCATCAACATAAATAAGGAGAAATGTGATATGATTTGTACCTCTAAGATTAAAAAGGGATGAGTCACTTTTGGTGTTTTGAAATCCATATTTTAGTAGTGTGCTCTTTAGGCTATCAAACCAAGCTCTTGGTGCGTGCTTTAGATCATATATGGCTTTAGACAATCTGCATATGTGATTAGGTTTGGTGGAGTCTACGTATCCCTCAGTTTGATACATAAACACTATTTCCTTAAGACTTCCTTTTAAGAATGCATTATTTACGTCGAGTTACCTAACTTCCCAATTGAGATGTACAACAATGGCTAAGATGATTCTTACTGAGCTGGATTTGATCACATGGATGAATGTTTCATCAAAGTTTATGTATGTTGTTTGTTGAAACCCTCTTTAACCAATCTTGTTTTCCTCCTTTCAATTAAGCCATCTACTTTGTATTTAGTCTTGAAGATCAATTTTAAGTCTATGATGTTTTCTTGACCTTCATATGGTACCAATATCCAAGTTTGATTAGACATCATAGCCTTAAATTCTATATCCATGGCTTATTTCCATTTTGGCTTGATTAGTGCCTCTTTGACATTCCTAGTTCTTTGTCATTTGTATGTGTCTCTGTCAATCCTATGTATGGTTGCTTTGGCTTGTAAATCCCAGCTTTGCTTCTGGTGTGCATCCAATGAGTGTTGGTGTTGTCTTGATGACTTTGTTAATTCATCTCAGGTGTAGTTTGAATGCTGTTCTCCACTAGTTAGGGTACCACAAAAGGAAGTTGATCATGGATTATAAAAAAGGTTTACAATTGATTTTTCCTGAGTCGATGCCCGAGCGGTTAATGTGGATGGACTGTAAATTCGTTGGTAATATGTCTACGCTGGTTCAAATCCAGCTCAGCCCAATAGTTTGCCGATCCACCATGAAATGATATGTTGAGGTTGAATCATATGCTTCACTTTCTCTTGATGTGTTGTTATCTTCATTAGCAAAAGATTCACTGAGATCTGGTTGGCCTTCACTTGTATTATTGTTTGCTGAATTGTTAGTCACTTAGTTGAATTCTCTTCCTGATGGTTTACAACATTGTTGTTTGGTTCAGTTGTATTGCTTATAATGGTACCTGCAGAACAAGTAGGAAGCATAATAAATGTATTTTGAGTTAGTCTCTTTAATGGATTTCTTGTGTCAATGAAGCCATCATGGAAGGGAAAGTGATTCTCATTGAAGATCGCATGTCTTCAAACAAAAATTATCCGATGAGAGTTGACACACTTGTATCCTTTGTCTGAATTAATGTAACTTAAGAATACACACTGAGTTGTATGGAATTGAAGTTTGTGTCGATTGTATGGTTTTAGACAAGAGTAGCAACCTCAAACAAATTAAATGAGGCTTTTATAGTACAGTTATTGTTAAAGTCATTTCTAACTTATCTGAAAATAGGAAGAATTTATACGACCAACACGGTCTTTCCCTATTAATTCCATTAAACTAAACAATCATATTTTATAAATATTTTCAAATCAATAAAAATCAACTCAACCAAATCAATATTTTCAAGCTCAATAAAAATCAACTCAATCAAATCAGCATTGTCAAGTCAATAAAAATGAAACAAACTAATCAATCAATTTTAAACCAGAACTACATAGTCTTGATTGCCTATCGTACCTAGAGACACGTAGGAGCAAGATAAATTCTTGTTAGAAAAAATATAAAAAATAAAATATTTTATTTTAAATAAATAAATTTCTTTAAGGGTATAAAAGTTCATGTAATTAGCGAGAGTAACACTTTAATATAGGCGGACAGGGTGCGAATACATTTCACGATCTGTAATCGACTCTCGAGCTCAAAACTCTTGTTCAATACCATAATATCTAATTTGGGCTTAAAAGAAAGTTTTCTACGTGTTAACAAAAAAACCTAGTGACGACTCCAAATCATTTGGGAGATGTCAAAATCGAGTTCGCCTCTTCCTAAGTTGCAGAGCCTGTCTTCCAACCGAAGATCAGATCAAGACACAAAGTCTAATCGATCTCAATGTATTTTATCTAATTTAATCTTTATTTTAGTTTTTGGTTGTTTATTTCTAAAATCAAAATTTGTTGTGAAAAATCAATTAGTTTAAGACCAAAATTATTGTTGAATGATCTAATATCGCTCAATTTCTCCTTGAGACGATTACTCTTCATACTTGTTTAACAACCCGATCCAATATTTCATTAAGTGTTTTGTCGATTAGCCCATCTCATTGAATATATGCTACACACTTTTTGTGTGTAGAAGATTAAACTTCTAGAGTAAATTACACTCACCCCCTGAGTTTTAGTGAAATTACACAAATCACCCCTCACTTTTTTGTCCTTACACGAACCCCTAATTTTGTACATATATTACACTAACTACCTCTGCATGATATAAAATTGTAATATTTTAAACATAAAAGACGTATGATGTGTGTAATTAATTAAACAAAACATTGTATATTGTGTAGACAAATTTAAATAATATAAGAGTCAATACGTCTTCATTATTTGGCTCGTTATAAAATAGTATAAGATTTATTTAAACATTTATTTGAAATTATTAATGTATTTTTTAATGACACAAAAATAATAAAGAAACATTCGCTTTTGTACTATTTGAAGTGTTACACAATATACAATATTTTGTTTAACTTAATTACATTCATTACACGTTTTTTCTTTTAAATATTACACTTTATAAGATGCAGAGGTAGTCAGTGTAATGTATGTATAAATCTAGATGTGATTTGTGTAGGAGAGAGGGATGATTGATGTAAGGACAGTGAAGGGAGAGGTAGTTTGTGTAATTTTATTAAAACTCAGAGGATGTGAATGTAATTTACTCAAACTTCTATTACTGTGAAAAGAATACATCAATTAGTGAGGATCTAATTATTAACAAAAGTAAATTTTCAGAAAAATATAAGTGTTTAATTGTTGACTAAAGAACATACTTAATTTTACTAAAACAAAGTCTTAATTGTTGATGAAGAAATTAATAAAAGACAATATTATTTGAAAATGAAAGATATTATATTTTTGATATATTATTTTTTCAACGGTTAATACTTTTAATTTTTTCTAAACCACTGACTAATAATTTTTAATGAATAAAGATAAAATATTTCCCACAGACATTATGATAAGAGGTCAACTAAAGGTTTTGCTAGACCTTTTAATGATTTGCTTTACAATTTTTATAAAATATCATTAATTTTACCTATTATCCTCAGTAAAGGTTTTACATTACTTTCTTTTCTCTGACATGAATCAATAATACATAGGCAACAAAATATTTTTTACATATGATATAAATCAACTAAAAATAATGTTATAGTATTTTAATAAGGGAAAAAAAATGTAATTACTCCAAGAATAAATGAAAAAGACTTATTTCACATAATAGTCATTAAATCCAATGATTTAAGGAGATGATTCACTTATTTCTAGAGTAAGTAACATAAAAACCTACTTCACAACTATGCATCCTTAAAAAATTCAATGATTTAGATCTACTAATTAATTAAAACAAATGAATTTTTCAAGAATGAATATCTAAAAGTAGGTTTTTTCAACGTACTATTGGACTAAATTGATCCCGCACTAAAAATTACTTTTTGAATGTCTTATAATACTTTGGAACTTAACGGAAGCTTTGATAAACCGACAAATTTGTTGAGTTCCCGAAAATGTCCTCACTCCCAGACGAATTATGGAGGCGAATTCTCGAAATCGGAATCGGAACCCGCGGTTTCACCTACAAGGACCTTTGCTCCGCCTCCATCTCATGCCGCCGCCTTCATCGTCTCTCCGGCGAAGACCCTCTCTGGAACCGCCTCCTCTCCTCCGACTTTTCCCCCACCAACACTCTTTATTCATATCACTTTCCCACTTCTTCTTCCGCCAAATCCCTTTACAAATTCAGGTACAAATTGTTTTTTCTTTGATAAGTTGATACTAAAAAAATATATTTAAGTTAAAAATTCAATAATCAAGTGTTTTTCTGACCAATTACATCATATATCATATGATATGGAGTGACACATTTTTGGGACGGAAGATTTCTCGTAAGGCGAGCTTTTAGTTAGGTCTAGCATATATTGGAATTTTGTTATTTGGGTTTTTATAAAGGTCATTTTTGTTGTTTATTTGTATTTTTTGATTGATGAGGTTTGAGAAGGATAAGGAGAGAAGAATAGCAGCTCATAGAAGAGCTGTATTGAGAAAGAAAAGTGAGATTGCGGAACGTTCTAGAAAGCTTACTGTCATAGAGAGCCAAATGGGTCAAGAAACCACAAAAATGAAGGAAAGTACTGCAGAGTTGTCGAATTTGCGCCGGGTCAGGTACTTTACTCATATAATGATTGATGATTCTACCAGTAAATTAGCAATTTAGTTCATGGAATTGTTTTATAATAGCCGTGTAGTTCTCGAATTCAATTTTAGACTAAACTACCATTTGACTGCTTGAATTTGTAAGTTTCGGTTATATTAGTTATTGAATTTAGGGAATTATTGTTTTAATATCATGGAATTGTAAGCATTGGTCATATTAGTCTCTGAAATTATGATCCATCAGTCAAATAAGTCCCAAAATCCAGGGGCTGATATGGCATGTGCTTACAATTAATGGGAATCGAGTGATGATTTCGTAGAATGAGGGATTACTATGACCAGTTCTCACAGATTCATTAATTGAAATGGTGGTTTTTTCTTAATTTTGTGTTATGGTTATTTCTTGAATTTATAGAAATTGTACTAGTCCTAAGCAATAAGCATGACTGAGTTGGTATAAGTTTTTGTAAGTTAGGAACATATTTTAGGGACTAATTCATACCCGTTTTACAATAATGTTATTTTGACATCCTAGGTGTGACAACTTTAAGATGTTTTTTGATTTTTTATGGGTTTCTTGAGCTGAGTGTAGAGATAAAAGATGAAAAGTAAGTGAGAGAAAGAGATAATTTGATTTGTTTTAAAGAGAAGTTGTAGAATTTGAGTTGTTCATATAACATTACTCTAATAAAATTTAGAGATTAAACAGCAAGGAGAGAATAATTGTCGGAATTATGTTGCTAATTTACTATTAATTGAACTCTTGCATTGATTGACTAAAATAACCCTTTTTCGTACTTCCCTTAGATTATAATAAGTTCAAGTTGAATGCTATATTATCTTTTGGTGCTATGTGTGTTGCTAGGTAGTCAATAGCGCGCTATAGCGCTGCGATAGCGAGTGTAGCATGCTTTCGGCTGTTCCCCGCTACGCCACAGTGGATAGCGATGCAGATGACCATAGCGTTTGTAGCAGGTCAAATAGCAGTAGAATCGTTGATCAAATAGCAGGTCATAACCCGCTACGCATTTTGTTGCGACTGGAACCCTAACTAACTTCAGAGAAGAAAAGTCATCTTGCCTTCTTTTAATAAGAGGCAGGTTTCCCCATAGGGTTTTAGGTAATTTAAGCTTTCCCTTCTACTTAACACATTAGTTTTCCCATGTAATGTAATTTTTACTCTATTCTACCTTTTTTCTTCTTCTTTCTTTTTCTTCTTCCTTCCCTTTCTTCTTCATCTTCCTCCTAATTCCTAATTTATGTGTGTACACTATAAATTACTTATATAACTTTTTGCTTAGTTGTAGCGGTTGTCTCGCTACCCGCTATAGTGTTTTTGGGATTGGGCGCTACACTCCGCTATCCGCAATTGACTACCTGGGCGTGTTGGTAAACTTTTGATAGTTATGTTATTTCCCTCCGTTTTTATCTTGGAAAGGAAATGAAGTGGATTGAATTTTCTTTTTTTTTGTCTTTGGTAACTTGAAGATTATTGTTGTATTTGGTAAGGGAGTTTTTTTGGTTAGGACATAAATAAGTGGTAATAGA